GAATTTTCCAGAAAATAGTTTTTGGAATTTCAGATTGGTTCGTAAAAGTTTTGTTGGCTTTTTCGATGTACACGAACGGGAAAGCAGTGCTCCGAACTGAGAAGGGTGGTAATCAGATACATTGTCTGCATGGAATGCGGGTGATGAGTATGTTTTGGATTATATTGGGACATACCTACTATTATATTGTGGCGAGTTTGACTGTGGGTGAGTTTTGTCCGCATTTTGTCCTTTTTGTCCACTTTTTTGTCCTTTTTGTCCTTTTCTGTTCATATTTGATTGATTGGAATTTGGAAAATTTTGAAAAATTTTTGGAAAATCGGTGTTTTTAGTGAGAAAAAGTATGGAAAATGAAAATTTTTTTAGTGGAAATGTCAAAATTTGAACTGAATCGGTTTTTTAATGAGACAGTTGCAGATAATTTGCTACCGACCCTGATTGCGTTTCCACAGAAGTTTTTGAATTTGATTATTGTGCAAGCGCCGCTGGCTGTAGACTCGTTCTTTTACCTGAGGTATTATTATTTATTATTATTATTATTAGAGGTCAAAGTTCAAAGGTCATAGCTCAGAAATCAAACTACAAACATCAAAGTACAAATGGTTTTTGTATTGGAGGGTGATATTGCAGTGGTATGCTGACGTGTTATTTGTTTATGGAGAAGTTTACGAAGGAAGCANGACCTGAAATTAATTTCAGGTTGACGCCCACCTATGTGGTGGTGATGATCTTGGACGTGACGTTGTTCACGTACATATCGGATGGGCCGTTTTGGCGACCGATTGAGTCGAATTATTGCCGTAAGAGTTGGTGGACGAACCTGATCTACATGAATAATTTTCTGCTGCAAGATACGGAAACGGTTAGAGCTGTGTTTTGTAGCGAAAAATTTGGGCAGAAGTTACGGAGGTAGAGGTGGCCGAGTGGTAGTGTGCTCGGTCGCGGTTTGGGGCCTTGAGGGTTCGGTTCCGCCAAGAGGAAGTTTGATTTTTGACGAACATTTTAGTGTATGGGCTGGACGTGGTACTTGGCGAACGACATGCAGTTTCATTTATTTGCGCCCATATTCCTTATTCTGCTGTTTAAGTTGGTCATTTTCTGTATTTTTTAATTTGAAATTTGGCCGAATTTTGACACGATTCTGAGCAATTTTGGCCGCATTTTGACCGGAATTTCGGCAAATTCACCAAACGTTTAGGGTTTGAATGGTTGCCGCCGCTTGATTTCAGGTCACCTTTAATTAATTCTAGGTCATCCGTGCTCGGTATTTTGGCGTGTTTGGGCGTAATCGCTGCGTCAACAATCACACATCTGGCAGTGGTGCTCGCACATGATTATCCGCCGGCGCCGCTTCTAACAGCCCATTTGCAGATGTTAGTGGCTTTTTTGCAGCCTTATTCCTGGCTTTTGGGAAAGACAGTGAAATTATTCCCAGCTTTTGGGAATTGACAGAGACGCGGGAACAAATTTGTAAGTGCATTGAAATTACAGTGTGAAAGAGCTGGAAACGTATTGGCCTGATGTGTACGTGAAGCCCTATATCCGTTG